CCCAGCGCCTGGGTTCGATGGAACCCAGCGCCTGGGTTCGATGGAACCCAGCGCCTGGGTTCGATGGAACCCAGCGCCTGGGTTCGATGGAACCCCGCGCCTGGGTTCGATGGAACCCCGTGCCTAGGTTTCATCGAAGCCAAAACCGAGCCTAGGTTCGTTCGAAGCCAGAACCCAACTTGGGTTAGGCGCGGGGTTCCATCGAACCCAGGGGCAAAGAAAAAAGAAATTCTCTTTTCTCTTTTGTGGGTTTTGTTGTTTGACGATGATGAATAATTGATTGATGAAGGAATTGATTGATAAAGAAGGCAAGGAAGAGGAAGGAAAAGGAAAAGGTGTTTGCTGAGGAACCCAGCAGGCCTGAGTTCAATGGACAAGCTCTGTTGTTCTAGGGTTTGTTCAATTTTTGTAGCAATGGGCCCCACTTTTTTTTTGGTTTGGTTTTGGATGAAGATGAAACATGTTACACTGTCATGTTATCTTTTTTTACCACGTGTACATCAGACGTGTCATGCTAGTTTGACATGTCATCGTGCAGCCAGTTAACAGCACACGTAATGAGATTTTTAACGAAAAGACCAAATTGGGGTCAAAATAGTAAATAGTATGGATCAAATCAGAGATTTTTTTAGTTTAGGGACCAAATGGAGGGTTTATACAATAGTTCAGGGACCAAAATAGAGATTTAACCTATTATTAAATTAGAGATATATTGTACCCTAATAAAAAGAAAATAAAAACAAATAGATAAACCTTCATTGTTGTTCCAATTATAGATAAGTCTTTGTTTGTGATGTGGTCATGGCCATTAACTTATTTATTAAGGTTATTAAAATTATATTTTATTTAATTAATATTTTTAATTTTGAAACAATCTTAACCTTAATAAAAAAAAAAAAAAGGGTGACTATAAACACTCCACGTCTCCCAATTGTATGCCCTTGATACACGTCCAGCATGGGTGATCGCACGCTGCTAGCATGCCTATATATACGCATCCATCTTATCCTCCCTAACCAAGACATAGCTTCATCAAAAAATTATATTACCAAAGGAATTAAGCACAACCAAAAACAATGAACATTTGCTCCTTCTTCTTTGGCCTTACCTTGGTCATTCTCTTTTCAGGTACATTAATTTTTTTTTTTTTAAATTTATCATCAAGGTATTTTCAAATTTGCTTTCAGGCATCCGGAAATTAATCTCCCTCTCTGGACAATTTTAAAAGTATACCTTATATTGATTTAGTTCATTTAAAAAAATTAATTTTTTTAAATGTCAATAATAAAATTTGAACTTTAAACTTGTTTTTATAAAAAGATATTTATTTATTAATAATTTCAACTCTTACTGTTGGTGTATCAAATGTTTATTCTAATGATTTATCAAAACTGCATTAATTAATTTAATATGTATGTATTTTCTCATTGCAGGGATTCACTCAGCAACTCTCACCGTGAAGAACAATTGTCCCTACACAATATGGCCAGCAACCCAAACTGGCGGTGGTGCAGCCCAGTTATCAAACACTGGCTTCGAGTTAGTCTCCCAAAATTCAGCCACCCTTGACACTCCTGCTTCATGGAGCAGTGGCAAGTTGTGGGCTAGAACACAATGCTCATCAGACTCCTCCGGAAGATTCACCTGTGCTACAGCCGACTGCGGCTCTGGCCAGGTTGAATGCAATGGTGCGGGGGAAGTCCCGCCTGCATCCCTCGCAGAATTCACACTGGGATCAGCCGACGGTACAGACACTTACGACATTAGCCTCGTGAATGGTTTTAACTTACCTGTCTCGATAACTCCACAAGGCGGCTCCGGTCAAAATTGCACCACGACCAATTGTGGCGTTGACATTAATGCAGAATGTCCGTCGGATCTGGCTATTAAAGACTCTAATGGGGGCATCATCGGTTGTAAAAGTGCTTGCGCTGCGTTCAATGAACCGAAGTACTGTTGCACTGGCACCTACAATTCGCCAGATACTTGCAAAGCCACGAACTACTCAATGTTCTTCAAGAACAAGTGTCCTCAAGCTTATAGTTTTGCTTATGATGACCACTCAAGCACCTTCTCTTGCACCGGCGGCCCCAATTACCTCATTACTTTCTGCCCATAATTAATGAGTTCCACTTCTATGTGATAATATAAGGGTTATAATGAAGCTAAAAATAAATAAAGTTGGATATATCACTAAAAGGCATGTGTGATCTTGTAGTAGAATTAGTATTTTTAGTAAAGGGTTTAAGGGTGTATTTCCTAATCTCTACAAATTAAAGAATAAAGTTCAACATCATATATATTATCTTGTGATAAAAAAAAAATTAAATTATCAATTATAGTATAGTTCTATATTTTGATTTTAGAAAAGTCATAGTGAATTGCACGTCTTATAATTATTGATAAGATGGACGCTTGAAAATAAAAAAGTGATTTCATCCTATATCAATAATTATAAAATGTTCAGTTCACCTTTACAACCATATCTCTTTCTTATTTTTTTATGAAAATTCTATTTTGATTTATAGATTTTTTTTTTTCTTTTCTAGCTACACAGTACTGATTTAACTCAAGATTTCTAGATTGATATGTAGAATTTAGAACATGTAGAGTAAACATGAATAATCACATGATGATGCTATTTGAATATGGCACCATATGATTGCTAAAATGTTACTCAATTTGGAACTTATTAGATCCCTCTTTCGACGTAATATGGATAACAACTCTAAAGGTGTGGGTATACCATACAAAACACAAATAAATATATGCATTTAGTACTTAATTTGCCAAGTTGGGAGCTGTATGGTTTTTAAAGTGGTTAAGAACCTAAGATCTAAATTAGAGATTTCTTATTTGAATCTTTAAATAGGATGGATAGAGATTATTAGGAGAAGCGAACTATCCTCCTATTATATAATTCAATAATTGAATATACTCAAAAATAAAGATATATAGAAAATAAAAAGTAAATAAAATATAATAAGAGAACTTTCTTTTTTTTTCTTTTTTTTTTTGGTTAACATCAGCAGTAGCACGGTGAACTCCAAAGTCCAACTTCAAAACTCAAAAACAGAGCAGAGGCAGAGACGGGCCGAAAAAATTATGCGCTGGGCCTACACGGCGGTTACTGACTTACTGTATCCCTTAACGGATTATGGGCTGTGGATTTTCTATTTGACCATGGGCTATAAGTAGATCCACAGAGAAGTCAGGACCCAGGAACAGTGTTCTATTTCAATTTTGACTTTTTTTTTCCCCCTTAATGCACTGTTAAAGGCACATAATAGAAAAACGACTACATTAAGTTGCAATATACATGGATTATTAGTCAACTGAATAAATTAAGTGGATCTTACTTGCAGGTTGCAGCTGCAATGATGGTTTTAGTTTTCAATATGAATAGGATTTAAT